AATGAAATGATTGTGTGATTTTGGTTCTTTACACTGTTAATATAGTGGCTTACACTTGGTCATGGTATGACGATTCTTTTTATAAATAGCTGGATTTGACTTGCTAATACTTTGTTGAAGAGTTTTTTATGTTTATGGTAATGAGGGATATTGATCTGTAGTTTTCTTGTATTATCTTTGTATTTGTCTGTGTTTTCTTTTGTTTGCATCTTTGCAAGATGCAGATGAAGGTAAAGCAGATTTTATAGGGAAATTTTTAGCATTAAATGTTCACTTAAAGCATTTAATAATGCTAATATTAAATGCTTACTTAAAGCATTTAATAATGTAGAAAAGAAAAAAGGATTCAAATCACCAATGTAACCTTTCATTTTAAGAAACTAGAATAAGAAGAGAAAAATAACCCCAAGCAAGCAGGCGGGGGGGGGGGCAAGGCGGATGTACGGTACAGCAGACAGTAATTAAAACCATATGATACTGGCATAAAAATAGACATACTGACCAATGGTGATCTATTTGATATCAGGTTAGTGCTGACCTCATAAGATGTGTTGAGAGTGTTCCATCTTCTTCCATTTGCTGAGAGATTGTGTAGATTTGGTTTAATTTCTTCTTTAAATATCGGGAGAATTAAAGAGTGAAATCATCTGAACCCCGGAGATTTCTTTTCAGCAGAATTTTCACTATAAATCCACTTTCTTTAACAGTTATAGAACTATTTGGATTATCTATTTTATCTTGGTGACCCTTGGTAGTTTGGGCTTTCCAAAAAATTGGTACAGCTAAGTTTTTGGATTTATGTTCATAGTTGTTGGATTTATGTTGTTTGTAGTATTTCCTTATGATTTGTTTTTTATTACCTGTAGGCTCTACAACAATAATTTCTCTTTCATTATTGGTATCAGTAATTGTGTTCTTTCTATCTATCTATCTATCTATCTTACTACAGACCCATCAGTTTTGAGCTTTTCAAAGAACCAAGTTTTGGTTTCTTTTTTTCCCCCTCTATTATTTTTCTGTTTTCAATTTCATTGACATCTGCTCTGTATTGCTTCCTTTGTTCCCATTGCTGCCTTTAAGATATTGCTTGGGGACTTGGGTGTGAAGGAACAGAGAAAATAAAAAAGGAATGATGGATTTTTGCACTCTTTCTAAGAGTTAGGAAACTCCTTTCCTGTTCCTTGAACCAGCTTCTCCTAGAGCTCTCTTTGCTCCCTGGTGTCCACTTCTGGCTTTCAGGCCTCATTGTGTTCAGAATGAAAGATCTCAGAGAGAAAAAATGGTAAACTCACCACCAGATCAGTGGCACTCTGAATTCTGGTCTTTTCCGCAATTTGCTTGCTACTATTTGTCTTTTTAGACCCCTTTTACATTCTGTCCAGGTGTTATAGTCATAGTAACTAACAGCAGCCAGGTGGAGTGTGTTTCTCTTATCTGACCCAGAACTGAAACTTTCCCCCCAAATTCCTTGAGCCAATTAAGAGAAGGATAGGGGACCTGATATACGGGGCCATCTTATCTTCCACCACCACCATTGCTCCTCCTCCATGAACTCTTCTTCCACCACCTCTACCTTTACCACCACCCCCTCTCGATGAGTTCCACAGGGATCACCTGTAGCTGGGGTTGAGACAACTTTGAAGATGGGACATCCAGGACTAAACAGATTCCGGACAACTAAGAAGCATTTTTTTCTTCATAGATTAATTCCTGCTACATGAGAATTAGTAATTTATTTCAAAGGGGATACTTAGGGAATTCAGTCTTGGGATATTATGTTCAAATGTGGTATAGGTTGTCCTGAAGGTCCATGGCTGGTTTCATGAAGTTCTCTTTCCAGGCAGACAGTTCATAAGATGACTGGATTTTTCTGAAAGGAAAAGCAAGTTCCCCATTCTCCAGGCTCATGCATACCCTATGGTCTTTTCTGATGCCAGGTGAATTTGTTCCAAGTTTCCAGTGCTCTGCTAAGAATGCAGGGTCAACCCGAGCTGAGCATCCACATCATCCTTTCAAAATGGAGCACCAATTCTCCTAGTGCAATTAGAGAGGAAAGTCCCCTTGCAGGCTTTATGGCGAGGGTAAGTGGAGAGGAAGCCTGACACTACATGAGAAACCCATCCTTTTTCTACATGCCTGCTGAACCAAAGAAGCCTTGTATTACTATACAAGGGCCTGTCTTCTTAATATATTTTAAAATTAAAGTCAACATGAAAATGGGATGGGTGGGTTGCTCAAATTGAATGGTCATTGTGCGCCAGGCTGGTTTATCTCCCTGTTTGTTACACAATAAAAGAGGATCAGATAAACACAGGCATAACCTCTGCCTCCACTGATAATGTAAATCATCCCTTGTATCATTTGTCTTTCCTTCAGACTGGATACAAAAGGCATAGAAATGAACAATTCATGCCTAAACACAAGAGAGCTTGAAAGCCGGTGTATGTCAAATGTTTATTCCAAGTCATCATTAAGGGAATGAGTGGATTTGCTTATAAACACAGGCTATTCTGTCAGGGGAGAGTGGGAGAGAGAGTGTTTTTGCGGTGTGGAGACAGCTCTTTTAAAGACACATTGCAACTTTTCTGCTATGCACAGTAAGTTATATAGATAATTCTTTTTATAGGACATGAAATGTTGTCTCCTGAGCAGTGCAAAGCATAATGTGCTATAGAAACTGATTTTTCTCTCCACTTTATGCGAATGCCATTTTTCATTACCCACGGAGTGGGAACTTTCTAAAGACTGAAATGAGAGTAGGGGTCAGAAATGCCCACAGATGGTCAGGCCCTTCATGAAACATGCTCAGCAAAGACCTCCGTGGGAGCCTGGGGAGGTGGCCCCCAGCAGCTTCCCCCACAACGAAGTTTGAAGCACCGAGCCCTTGAAGGATGTCACATCTTTTCGGGTTATCCATATCCACCACTCTCATTCTCTGCTGAGGGTTTTGTGGGTTGTTGTTTTTCCCACCCAGTCCAACCAAAGGCAGCTAAAGAAAAAGTGCCAAGACAAACAGAACAGGAGCCTTGGGGACCCCATAATAGGTACAGAGCATAAGTGTGGTAATCATTCTTTTGATTTGTGTTCAGATATGTTTTCTATTTGCTTTTGCACAGAATGCACATTTTCCTCCTGGATTGCAAATAATCTGAACCAGGGTAAAGCCATTACAAAGTGGCCCTCACACATCATGTTTGTATTGGAACTGAATGACTGATCAGACATTTGAATATGGAACCTGGGAATTCGGGCAAATCATACTGATATGATTTTTTTAAATGTGCTCAGAGATGTTTAAATAATCTTTGCTTTCTTGGGTCTCTCTCTTTCTTTCTCTTTATTCATCTATCCTCTTTTTTTTTTAAAGAATTCTATATTTTTTCCCTTTAATTTTGCTCCCATTTCAATGATTTGGTTTTATGCACAAAGCCAAAAATAAAGAAATTATTTTTGCATCATTCCTAACAACTGGAACAAGGGAAGAAGAGGAGATGGAATTCTCAACATCCCCGTGCCTGGTGATCTCTGCCCTTTTCTGGGGCCGTACTTCCTGAGATAATCTACATCTTAAATTCTCATCCGCATCTCCTGGTCAGCCTCTTTGAAGTCGGTCACAAGCAAAGAAAAACTACTTGTAGGATGACCACTTCAGGTGACGGCCCTCCATGCCCAGGTGGGAGAGAGGGGAAAAGGAAATGCACAGTTGGGAAATGAAGATGAGTTGTGCTCACATTGCGGTGGGCGAGGCTGCTGACTGGTGGAGCCCCAGACAGCAGCCAGGCAAAGGGGCGCGAAGTCCCAGGTTAATGTCAAGTGCTGGTTTTTCTTTTAGTTACTCAAGGATCAAAGGGAAATTATTCAATAAAAAGGAACTTAAAGGGGACTTCTGTGCCCACATAAACCTTAATCAAAAACGCTTGTTCAAATGCAACTTCCTTGACCTGCCGTTTCGTATTGTCTTTCCAGTTCTTATACACATTTGTGATTAAAATTGGGATTTTCTCGATCGCAATTCGACGTTCCCTTTCCTCTCAGCTGACCAGAATTTCACAAGGGTGACCTGACAGTATATTGCTAAGGAACTGAAGACCATGTCACAGTTCAGAATTCTGATGAAGAAGAAAAAGTAAATAAGTAAATACTTTCCAACAGATGGGGCGTTAGGTAGAAATAAGCTGTGTGTGTGTGTGTGTGTGTGTGTGTGTGTGTGTGTGCATGTGGGTGTGATATTATACCTGACCACGGGAGACAAGCGCACTCCTGTTTGAAACGTGCACTGTTAGCACCCGCTGTGTGAAAGCTACTCTTTAATAGCCCTCACTTGCCTCTCCCCTGCAAGAGTACCACTCTGCACTTGAACTTTTCACTCCAGCTTGTTTCACTCCCCCCGTTCAGATCTGTGTTCCCTCACACTGTCTTGTCAGAGATTTATCACACTATGACCTTAGTCACATCCTCCTTTAAAAGAAGTCAAGCACAAACTTCACATAGTCTCTAATATTCTAGAGACGAACATGAAATTCCTCCCACTTGGAGTACACCCACATCAATGTTTCTCTAAAATCTACTTATCTTAATCACGACCTATGAACATGAATAGAATGTGGTGAACGTTCCCTGTATCCTGTGTGCCTGAGCACTGGGAGAAGTTAGCATCTGTACAGTTGTAATTTCTACAAAGGAGTGCAGTAATGTCACAGTTGTTTTTAGACAGAATTCTTTAGAAGCAGAACCTTTAAAATGCATGCTTTCTTTTTCTCTTGCAACACCATTAAAAATGATCTCCAAGTCTCAGTTTGGTTCTCCTGCTATGATGTTGTTGATTTTGTGATTGTTAGAAGAAGAAAAATGGGAAAATCTGACAGTAGATGATCCCACAAATGAGTGGTACACATACAATAATAGATAAGTACACACCATGAACAAAAGAGGAAAAGGATATATGCAGAAAAAGAAACAGTGATCTTTCGAGAATTAAAGATAAGAGCTTAATTACTTATATAGAAAACTACAGAAAGATGTGATCTGAATTTGACAGAAGGGAAGTAAATTTCAGTGGTCAAATCCTTGGGTGCAGGGCCAACATTTTGCTTGAACTCTGTCTCTACTGCATTGTGGGGCATTTCAGAGTAATGCATGTTTACTCTGCCGAATTGAGGAGGTTGGATGCTAATGAGTCTTCTGAACACTGCAAAGAAGAATGTTGCATGTGAAAGAGAAACAAAAGGGTATATGGAAATGAAAAAGAAACAAATGTCCTGGGAACATGGGAAAGTTCATTTTGGTGGGCTGGGAGAAGTCCAAACAAAATAGGTTTTAGAAAGAGGTGATGTGGCTAAAAGACATTCACTCACCCAAGCTGGAACAGAACTACAAATGTAGAGTTTGACCCTGACCTCCCATCAATGATACAGGCATGAGTTGACAAGCAAACTAACTTACAGTATGTCACTGGATTCTGCCCACTGTTTATGCTACATGGGAATTAATTTATATGCTCCTTGGGTTTTTTTCACAATGACCTCAAAAGTTTAAAGGCTACACACAATCCCAGGAAGTACCTCTGTCTAAAGACAGCAGTCCCTCTTTATCTGCGGGGGATACATTCCAAGACCCCAGTGGATGTCTGAAACCTTGGATAGTATCCAATTCTACATACACTATGCTTTATCCTATATATACATAGCCACAAAAAGTTTAATTTATGTTAGGCACAGTAATAGATTAACAACAATAACTAATAATAAAAGTTATGTTAATGTGCTCTCTCTCTGTCTCTCTCAATATCTTATTGTAATGTACTCACCTTTCCACACTGCAATTGACTAAAGGTGACTGAAACCATGGAAAGTGGAACTGTGGATAAGGGGGGAACTACTGTACCTAATTTAATCTAAATACCTAATTAAAAATGTGTAATTGAAGACAAACCTTTGATTAGTACCAATATAAATTTGATGTAAACTAATCAGGGCTATTTAGCCTCAAGATAAGAGCATTTAAGAGCCTCCACATAGGTTGAATCCTTTCTGTTCAGGGCTCCACCAAGGTGCTGAAGGCTCAAAAAAAAGGAGCAAGGAATAGGCTCTGCTCTTGGGGAGTGTATTAGTCCATTTCTGTTGCTTATAACAAAATACCTGGCACTGGGTAATTTATAAGAAAACAAAATTTATTGCTTACAGTTTCAGAGGCTCTGAAGTCCAAAGTCCAGGGAACGCAGCTGGTAAAGGTCTTGGTGGTGACAGTGACCCAGTGGACTCACATGGCAGAAAATGATGGAGCAGAGAGAGCAGAGACTCTCATACGCTCTTCTTTTAAAACAGCTGGTAAAGGTCTTGGTGGTGACAGTGACCCAGTGGTCTCACATGGCAGAAAATGATGGAGCAGAGAGAGCAGAGACTCTCATACGCTCTTCTTTTAAAGCCCTCAGAACCACGCCCATGACCACCATTATTAATCCATTCATTAGGGCATGGTCCTCAAAATCTAATCACTTCTTCATGGCTCCACCTTTCAATTACCATAGTAGGATTTCCCATCCTCAACAGTTACAGTGGGGATTAGGTTTTGGGGGGACATTACACCAAAAGCAGGGAATTAGGTCTTGACAGTAAAAAATACATCAAAGAGGCACACGGGATTGCACAAGCAAGGGTTCTAAGAGTAGCTTTGGCCAAGCAAGCTACAGGAGAGATGAGCAGTCAGAGAAGGCCTCTGAGGAAGGGAGGCTCTTGTCCCGACCACCAAAGACATGGAGATGCAGAAGAAGGAAGAGGATGTGGAGCTAGAGAATGGTATCAGGAAAGGCAGGAGGCTGGATACCCCTGAGATGGACTAGGAATATTCTGGTTATCCGTTGATGTGTGACAATCTGCCTCAAAACATAGTGGTTCAAAGCAAAAATTTTATTTTGCTCACAATATCTGTGTCTCAGCAATTCAGAAAGAGCTCAGTTGGGCAGTTTATCTCTGATCTACATGGCATCATCTGGGACTGGAGGGCCCATTTCCAGGCTGGCTTCTTCACACACAAGTTTGGTGGTGCTGGTTGTCTGTGGTCTCTCTCTCTCCCCATACCCACCCCCCACCCCTCCACCTATCATCTGCCTCACCATATCTTAGGCTTCCCACAGCAAGCGGGATTTCTTACAAGGCAGCTTAAGATTCCAAGAGAGTGCCCAGGGGCAAGGTTTCCTTTGACCCAACCTTGGAATTCTACTACATTCTGATGTTCAAGCAGGTCACGGAGCCCAGCCTATATTCAAGGGAATGGGAATTAGACTCCATTTCTCAATAGGAAAATTATAGCAAAAATGTATTGCCAACTTTAATCCCAAACAGGAAACAATGAAGACAGGTTATAAGCAAATCGTCAGATACAGCAGGGGCAATCATCAGAGTGAGAGGCAGAGGATGAGTGTAGAAGGCTTTGAAGGGGAAGTTGAGAGGTTTGGACACTTAGAAAGACACCTCGTTCTCCCGGCAGTCTCCCTTGTGGGTGTTCACTCAGCTGGATGAAAGAGAGCACCATGATCTTCTAGAGTTCCCAGGCACTGGACTAGGTGGATGAGAGAGACTGAACTTCCCCATCTGAATCTCTTTAATAGGAGACTTTCCTAGTTGGGGCATATTTGGTTGTGAAGAACAGAAACTCATTCAAGCCAGTGTAAGAAAAACAAAGACCTATTCAGAAGCACAGCAGGCAAGCATAAGAGCATCTCAGGACAAGAGGTAGGGGAGCTGGGTCACAAGAAGTCTGACGAGTCTCACAGTGCAAACCCCAGTGCCGGGGCTCCCCCTTCATGCCTGACAGGGGCCTGAGGTCTCTCGTGTCTTTGCCAGCATTGATGTCTTGCTTTTCTTCACAGACAAGCTTTCTCTGCTGCCTCACCAGAGTACACATGGCTGACAATGGCTACCCCAGGCTTGTGTGGCCTTTGATTCCTTCATGACCAATATGCCTTTGATTCCAAGCACCCAACATGATTGATTACAGATTGTGTGTCTCCTAACTTAAATTCTGGAGAGGAGGCATCCAGTTGGATTAGATGAGTCTTTGGATTGATCCTCCTTAAGTCAAATGTCCACTCGATACAGCGTGGACAGGCAGAGCAGGCTTAGATGTTTAAAGAAAAGTAACATAAAAGCCTGGTCACTTAGCTCCTCTCCCCCATCAGTGAGACAGTTCATGTGCGGAGCAATTCAAGAGAAGGTCCAGGATGGCTAAGTGCCAAGAAAGAAGGACCACACAAAAAATATGGTAGCCTGGGGTGGGACTGGGATACGGACAGAACAGTGTGGTCCCCCAAGCCATTCTTCACTCACTTTCCAACCCCCTTTCCTGATGGAATCAGGCTGCTTCCTATTGAATTTGTCGTGGCAGCCTGAAGCAGTAAAGTAATGGTCAGTAATGCATGGTATCAAAGAAGGTCCTTTCTTATCCGGCTCTCAGAGACGATTTCAATGCTTATAATAGTATTGAGGGTACTGGCCTTCTCTTCCTTCATTATTCTCCAGCATACACATCTATACCCAAGTCATAAGTGGAAGATTGATGTCATAAATGTAAGCACTTTAATAATTTCAATGAAAATTACGAATTTAAAAAAAAGTAAGAAAACAAATCCCGATTGGAGAAAAGTATTAATGATACTTCACACTATCATAGAAAAATGCAAATCAGGATTTTCCTTTTCTCTAATTAGCAGACATAAATCAGGATAAATTTTAAATTGATGAGAGCTCTTTCAACACCAGAGAGAGATATTGACCTTCTTGTGGTAAAGGTAAGTATGAAGTACATTAAAATCATCATTTTCTCAGTAATCAAGTTTACCCCTACAATAACTTTGGACTATGACACTCCTTCAGATATGCTGTCTGCTCAAAATTCTCCAAATAGCAGCACTGCATGGAATTCTGCTGGAGTAGGAGAATTGCGGCCAGGCAGTCAAAATCAATTTGTTCCTGTGATTGACATCAGGGCCTGTGTGTCAGCCAAGCTTTCTTCTACCATCTGTGCTCTGATTATGATCAATAGGTATTTGTGATATGCCCAGGAAATGTGCTGTTTGATTACTTTTACATGGGAGAGGAGACAAAAATGTCTCAACCCCTAGTCTCCTGATGTGGATGTAGAAGCCGGTTGATGAATTATTAGAACATAGAGTTCGCACTGATAAACTTTTGAACTTTCATTGAACTTGTAGATTAAGAATAGGCAGTTTTTCCAAGAGGAAAATTCACCAGACAACCAACAATTTTTCTTTCACATATTTAAGCAAGATGTTCGATCTGGTAAGGAAATAATAGTAATTTATGTCTTTGATAATTGAGAAGGATTATAGTTCTATACACAGAAAAAGCAACCATCACCCGGGCCCTCTGAGTCACAAAGCCATTAAAGAACAAGCTTCCAGCTTAAAAGCTGATGAAATCTCCGGATTTAGAGGGTGGTATTCTCCAAGAGGGAGTTAAGAGAGGGGAAAGAAATCCCCAAGTACTTGTAAAATTAGGGCCCCCCTCTCTGCCTTCCTTTCTAACAACCATAATGACATTTTTCAGATTCAGCTTGGTATCCCACACTAAAAGAAAAACATGCACACACAGAACCATTTCTGTTTTGTACATGGCTTCCTAGTATATACCACCAAGCTCACACATGGACCCACACTGACCTTCAATGGGAGGCAGCCCTCCAAATAGTAGCAATGAAGCTGCCTCCTTCAATCTGCAGAGACGCATCATTCTCCAAGCATCATTTGTCCTGCAATCTGTAGAAACAGCCTGAAGTAGATTAAAGGTTAAGAAGAAAGATTTCTGACCAGCTGGAAACATGTGTTTGGTACATTCAACTCACTACAAGAAATTATTTTACTGATAAAATAGCGTCAGCTGAGATCAGGTTCCCGAGAGATGGGAATTATTAATTTTGCTGCTATGACACCAAATAGTTTGCATTAAAAATACACACTGACTTGTTGCTCTTTGGCTTGGTTGGTACAATGCACCAGAGACTTCAACTAAAAGCTGGCCACTCTACAGTTCAGTGGCCCTTATTAATGATAAATCCTACCACCTTCCTTCCAAAATCTCTTCAATACAATGCGTTTGCTTCTCTGGAATTCAATTTGAGTCAATCCTAACATTATTTTTAAGCATGCACCTTGCTAGATGCTCAGAAATTAGAAGGGCACGCTCTTATCACAATGTGTCAATAGCTGGGTTTATAGCATTACAGGTGTTACGATGTAAGTCTGGAAAATAGCCAAGAAGAATGAGGAATGTGGTTTCAAAGAGAAGGCTAGGGATGGAGTCAGCTCCATCCGGGGAGTCCAAAGTGAGCTATTTTGGTTGCAAGGAATATGGACTTATGCAAGTTTCCTCAACTAATGGAGATTAGAAAATGTTGTAAGAACCTATGACCTGGTAGTGGAAAGTCATCACGAACTTGGGCAGGTCTAAGAACTCATTATTCTCTGTCTCTCTCTTGCTCTCATGGCCTCTACCACATCTGCATGTTGGCTCTGTCCTCAGTCTCCACTGACTTGGCTTATTCCAAGCTTCTGTTTCCTCATAACTGTAGTTTATGCATGACCTCTCATGACCTTGACTCTATCTCTTGGTGTTTAGTTTTAGCAATTGCTGCTAACTGCCTTATTTGAATTTGTAAAATGTAAAGAGAGAATGTATTTGTCCCTACTTGCACTTCCTGTGGCCACACTCTGGGTTACTGGCCAGCCACTAGCTGGACTGACTACCCAATCATGGACCAGTCCTCTCTGGCCGAAAGGACCAGGTCAAGGCGTACTAATAAATCTGCCCCTTTAGCAGGGGCAGTTCAGTTTATAAAGGGCTTGGCAGGCATTCTGGAGGTTGGTCTGCCCGGTCCATAGAATAACAGAGAAAGATTCTGTGCAGGAGGTAACATCTGAGATGGTCATAAAAGGATTCCATGTGTGGATAGGCAAAGAGGGAGTATAGATGGAGGTAATATCATAGGCAAAAGCGAGAAATAGGAAAGCAGGAAGTATATTTGTGAGTATCTTGGTGTGGCTAGCTGTACTTTTGAAACTTTTTGCCCAAGTGAATCACTGGGGATCTTGTTAAAATGCAAGTTCCTATTCAGTAGGTCCAAGGAGGAGCCTGAGATTCTGCATCTCTAGCAAGCTCCCAGGCGATGTGATGAGCTGGCAGCATTTTCAAGATAGGGCTAAAACAAAGAGTGTGTCCAGGCCTTGAATGCCAAGCTAAGAAAGTGGTTCTCACTCTTCTTTGATAAGTAATAAGACACTCTGAAGGATTTGGGACAGAAGAGTGATATAATCAGAGTGGTGCTAACAGGGCAATTGATTTGGCAATGCTTTGTGGGATAAGTCAGAAAAGAAATGGAAGATCAGCTATTTAGTGATTGTAAAGGCCAGAAAAAAAAAGATGTAATAAGAACTAAATCAGGATGATCACAGTGGAAGGGGAAAGAAGGAATATATAAGACAAAATACACAGCCAATAGACCATGCCCTTCCGCTGTCCTTACCCAGTCTCGCCTTAGTTGACAAGGGAAGCCGCTTCCTCAGGCATCATCTGGTAACATCTTTGTATGTCCTTTCGAGGATGTCCGCTTTTCATTTCAAATCACATCTAAAGATACATCCTCTCTTTTACCTCTAACCCTTAATTTCATTCTCTCTGCCTAACTGCATTTTCTATTGTGTGCAACTTGCTGCATGATTTAACGATATTATAACTGTGTGACTATGTTATTTAGCTGTTATTTCATTGTGTACCAGTAACCAAAGGAGTTTTGTAGGAAGCACATCTGAAAGGCAGTGGGCAATGAAGTAAAGTCCATCACCACCTTATCACCATCAGGAAGGTGATCTTCTGTTTGCAGTTCACTGAAGAACACAGCTAAAGAAATTGAAAGAGAGCTCGGGGAGAATCTGAGGGAAGTCCAGATATGGAGATGGATGGATACCCTAAATATTGTGCTGTGGTTCAAGATGCCAAAAAATGGCCATGACAGTATGCAGCTGAGGAGTTTCCAAATCATGTGCCAACAGGGAAAAAGAGATAGGAGAGAGAGAGATTGGAATTCAGAACCCCTGTTATGACCTTGCTTACACAATCCCTATTGTACATTTAAAACCAAGTAAAAGAAAACTTGGTGTTAAATACAAATCCCAACTGAAATTTTCTTAAGGCTAAAAGCTTATAATATCCTGAGATTATGGATATAAATGAAGAAATCTGTGCTTACCTACTGGATTGTTCATGCCATTTTGAGATCAAACTCTGAATGCTAAACTTTGGTTTTCTAAGGCCCCTGTGCATTAAATAATTTATACACCAAGCAGGACTTTTAAGTCCAATCCTTTTCCTCCTAATGGGATGGGATTTTGTGCACACATGTGTACTTATAGCTCAAAATCCAAACAGTCATTGATGACCAAAGAAACAACAATAATG